CCCCCCCCCCTAGAATTTTCTTCTGTATCCGCCACTGGTTGTGTGTGTGTGTGGGGGGGGGGGGTTGCGTGTTATTAAACCTCTTGACCCGGTTCCACAGACGTGGATTAACTCTTAACTCTGAGTTAAATTCCTTAACTCTGAGTTAAAAGTTAACTCAGAGTTAAATTCCGTTCCACAGTCGTGGATTAACTTTGACTCTGAGTTAAATATGCCTAACTCTGAGTTAAAATTTAACTCTGGTATGAACCTAGATTAAACTCTTAACTCGGGGTTAAAAATCAAGTTACATTCGATTTAGTTATAGATAGTCTTCGGTATAGTCCTTTAGACTAGTTAATTTCTACGAGGTTAGTTTAGCTCTAGGGCAAACTGCATGAAGTGCCCCTTCGCTCACTCAGGATACCACTGCCACAATGCTAGCACTATTTTTAAAGTTGGCGGAGCTCGTATCGGGGGGAAATCGTATCGGGGGGAAATCCAGCGAATGGAGATTCGTAAACAGCATATGATTTAAAAGAGGTAAATGGGCGCGCAATCCGCGTACTATTTCGTATCACTATTTTATCAAATTTTTCATGAAATAACTGTCGGATTTTTAATATCTTTGCAACTTTTATTAGTCCAAATCATATTACATAGGATACGAGTAACGTGCCTGCTGTAAAACTTGTAGTAAAAAAGCATTACAAATTGTAACCGAAATCTACTTGTGGCAGTGCTAGGGTACTTAAGTGGTAGTACTAGAGCTAATTAGTTTATCTAGTACTGCCCCGTGTCCGATCCCCCGCTGCCGCTGGAAGATAGGTGTTTGTTTACGTTTGGTGTACATCGGTCGGCCATTGATGGCGTACCAACGCTGATCCAGGCATCCGTACTGTGATAATATGGGGAAATGTAAGATATTTAGCTATGCCGCAATAGCCGCAGTTGTTAAAGCGCCTTGGTGATGACGCGAACGTTGCTGCATGGTTCAATCCCCTCATTGGCAAAATATTTGCCCTCATTTATTTATCGCTGCCGGTTTTCATTATTACGTTTTTTCATTACACTTTCTACCATGTTCGTGCATCTATCATGCGTCTATCGTCTATGCGTCTATCGTCTATGCGTCTATCATGCGTCTATCATGTTCGTCTGTTCAAACTACGTGGAATTATGGGATACTAACTCTGAGTTAAAACATTAACTCTGAGTTACTTAAAGTTCTCAGGATTTAATCCATGTTTAGGAAACACAAATTTAACTCGGAGTTTACTAACTCAGAGTTAGTGAGTTTAACTCAGAGTTAGCCTTAACTCAGGGTTAAAGTTAATCCACGACTGTGGAACCGGGTCCTGGGATACAAAGAGAAAAATTACCCTAGAATTCACAAAATTGCACTTACAATATCAATTTTTTTCAATTCCCTCAAAAACGGCTATCTTGAAGGTTCTAAATTGCTAAAATCCAAGAGCTTCCGGGGGCTCCGCCCCCTGGACCCCGGGCAAGAGCTCTGCCCCTGGTTGTGTGTGTGTGGGGGGGTTGCGTGTTATTAAACCTCTGGGATACAAAGAAAAAAATTACCCTAGAATTCACAAAATTGCACTTAACCCCCCCCGTTTCAATCGTTGCGCCACGTTTAAATTACCTCCGCCCCGATTAAATTCCACCACAATAAAAGTTTGACAGCGCAGGAATCGATCGTTTGTTGATGCAAACCCAACCCTAACCATAACACTGACTTTAAACCGACTCGGCTATCTTATATACGCGTGGCATAGTACCAAACACTATCTATGGTGTATCCGGAACTCTCGTGGGAAAAATAATTTCGCTCCCCAGACCCCCCTAGTTTTCCCTTCCCCCCTCCCCCTCCTTCTGTTTCAATTTCATCCTGGGGAGAACCCTGTATCTAGATGTCCCATAGCAGTGCTGTAATAGCATGTTCTAAAAACCTGTGATGTTGCTTAGCAACAAAGTGGCGCAGTGTTGATATTTTGTCCTACGTGTAAAACATTGTACAGACTGGGTGAGTTTGTCTGACTCCGTGTTAATATCCAGAGGTGGGGTGTGGATAATATCTGACTCAGGTTAGGCCAATTGCAATTGTTGAAAGGCCTGCAACAGAATTGATGGTGCGTTATTAAGAATCATTCTATGAACCTGAATTCATCTAATCTTTATTCTGTCTGACACTCACTAATACATTAATAAATAATTGGAGTTTATAAAGACATGAGGCAGAAACGTTTCATTTACTTGTGTAAGTTTGTAAATTGTATATTACGTATTGCTTTTTAAAAGATGCAAAAGATTGCTGGAAACTTTATGTGAGCGACTACAATAATGCGTAGTTTTCTAGTTGTTAAAACATTCCATTGTCGACTATAGCATTACATCTTATCCTACATGGCCTCGCTATTTTAGGTACAAAGCTGAACTGGAGAAGAAGCGACTGCAGGGCAGAAAGCGACGAGTAAGACCAATCTGGAGAGACAAGGAATCAGTAGAGAAAACCCATCCACACCTAGAAGTGGTTATCAGAGGTGGGTTTCACTACAGGATATGGGGTATGATGTGTTGTGGGTGAATTCGTCATATATATATATATTTATATATATATATAGCTGTTTTTGTACAAGGTGCTTTTTGTAAAAATCAGACATTCTGGAACCTAATGTAATATTTAGTGAGTGTGGGCATATTAACAACTAATCTCGTATCGTGATAGCCATACCTATGTGGCTCATTGCGACGTGAACGAATACATGGAGCTAGTATCCCAAGTGTGCTTCACTTTAAATTTCACGTGTACAGGTGACGTAGCAGGGTCAGTAGAAGCCATCAAGGATGTCTTATTGACCTACGCGTCAGCCAAGTGTGACCTTGAGATTGTTCAGGATGGGGTCGGCATGGTAACGGAGTCTGACATTGAGCTGGCCGCTACGTTCAATGGTACGCTGTCTTCCGGTTCATTGAAAATATGTGTTTATATGTTAAACAAGGCGAATATGCTATATCACTGAAGCTTAAACTTCTGACTGAAATCTGCAGAACATGATAACCACAAACCCTTGAATTTTGTTGATATATGTCAGTCAAGCTAGACCAGTTTTTATGTGTTTGTCATGTGTGCAGGCCAATTAATCAATATTGTGGCACAGAATTTTTAGGATGCCCCTATTGCCATGCTGGTTGGCTTAAGCCACCTGTCAGGATGGCAGATAGGGCAGTTGGTAGCAGTTAGAATTATAATGCAAACAAATTCCCTGTCCCGCCCCCTCTCAAAAAAAACATCGTTATCCAGCTGGTAATCTCCAGTTCGCATTTTCCTCCTACGTCCCCTAACTGCACCTCCGTGCACTGATCAATGTTGCCACACACCTAAGCAAACACCACAGGAGTGTGACAGAAAGTGGTGAAAACACTGGAAAATTCTCGCAATAATCGCTTTAGAGCGCCGTGCTAATGACGCGAACGTTGCTGGTTCAATCCCCGCATTGGCAAAATATTTTCCCTCATTTATTTATCGCTGCCGGTTTTTATTACACCTTCTACCATGTTCGTGCGTCTATCATGCGTCTATCATGCGTCTATCATGTTCGTCTGTTCTAACTACGTGGAATAATGGGATACTAACTCTGAGTTAAAACATTTAACTCTGAGTTACTCAGGATATACTTAACTCAGGATTAATCCATGTTTATGAAACCCAAATTTAACTCGGAGTTTACTAACTCAGAGTTTGTGAGTTTAACTCAGAGTTAGCTTTAACTCAGGGTTAAAGTTAATCCGCGACTGTGGAACCGGGTCCTGGTGTATAAGATATGTATTGTATCGTATTTGCTTACTGGCCTGCGCAGCCACCTGTGTATTGTATGTATATGTCAATATATGATGTTGTTCATTAAAGAATAGAGTAACCGTAGTAATTCTGTGGTTATAGCATTATACTGTCTGTGGCTTAAGTGCAATAGCACACGTATCTGTTGTACAAACGAACCTGGACACACTATACGATTACACGTGCCTACTACACGGGCTCACGAGCTTTGTTATAACTGGAACAAGTTTCTCGTTTGGCATCGTTTTCTCTGCTTCCACGGCTGGAGTCGGTGACACCATTGTGACTATGACGCGTCTTTATGCCATTAATAAAATTTTCCAATTTTTGTCAGTTCTATTGATTTATGTTAGCTGTAATACGAACGTGTTATACGTCGTGTTAGAATCACGCACTCCGCTTTGGTTCTATAATTCTTCGTTACTGGATAGCGCATACGCTTCCCCTTATGTTTCCGAAAGAACACGGAGCAGGAGAATCCATTTTCAGAGAAGATTTCTGAAAAAAGTAAAGGTCTTTATTAATTGGAGTTTTTTTTTTCATGCGTTGGTGCCATGCGCATCATCTTCCCAACCTTGGGCAATCTGCAATTGCACCTAGAACCGTTTGGTCCGCCCTCCTCCCCTCGCCGGGCTAACAGTCCGGTATATGATTGCTGCACTTGTTAACGGCATTTACCTTTTACGGACCATTGCTTTATGGGGAATCAATGGATTACGTAAAGCCTCTCTACCACATCTAGATTACACTGACGTGTTATGGATCGCTCCTATACCCTGAAAACTGCCAGGATTAATTAACCCTTGCCCCGATTGCATATAATTTCCAACAATCAGAGCACGCCCCATTGTAGCAGGCGCTGCTGGTTAGACACTTTCTTTTTCTTTTTTTCTTGGGCGAAAGCGACACCAGAAACCCGTCTAAACAGCATGTGACGCGGCGGCGTTGGAAATATCAACAAAGAACCCCCCACCCCCACCCCACGCACGCACGCACGCACGCACGCACGCACAGCAGACGCGGCACGCCCAGCACACAAATATATATACTATTTATATATGCGCATCACACACGCGTGCAACACACAGCACAACACACACGCACGCCACGCCACCAGCACACAGCACACCGACAACAACACCTTCACACACAGCACACACACACAACCACACAACTACACACATCACAACACAGTCACCCACACGACTACACCACACAACAACACATACACACACCAACACACACACACACACACAACACCACACACACAACACGCACACAGCACATGCACACACAACACGTCGTTACAGAGTCATACATATCATCTTATCGATGATTCCGCCCTAGTTCGCCGCGGCTCAGGCGAGCAATCGCCGCCCGCAGGTTTCACTCGACGAGCACTTACTCATGCATGTATATATATATATATATAATATATATATATATATATGCACCCAATATTTGCCATCGGTCGCGAATGTGTCCTTACTCGTTGATACCTAGCTCGGTTTGACACGTACCGCCGCTGGCGACAGGAATACTTCTTGATCTTTGGCGAGAGAATGGAGTGTGGCGTGTGTGAGAGAGAAACAAAGAGAGGGAGAAAGAGAGAGAGAGAGAGAGAGAGAGAGAGAGAGAGAGAGAGAAAGAAAGACAAAGAGAGACAGAGAGAGAGAGCGAGATTGAGAGAGAGAGAGAAAGAGCAAAAGAGAGAGAGAGAGAGAGAGCGAGCGAGAAAGAAGTAAAAAAGGCTAGCGAGAGACCGATCGCAAGAGAGAGGGTGCGCACGAAAGAGAAGGAAAGAGAGAGGGAGAGAGAGAGAGAAAAAAACAAGAGAGCGAGAGCGAGAGAGAAAAAGAGAAAGAGAGCGCGAGAGAGCGCGCACGAAAGAGAGAGAGAAAGAGAGAGAGAGAGAGAGAGAGAGAGAGAGAGAGAGAGAGAGAGAGAGAGAGAGAGAGCGCGAGGAGAGAAGAGAGAGCAGGAAGAGGAGTAGAGAGAAGAGAGAGAAGAGAGAG